AAACCTTAACTCCAAATGAAGCAATTTTTAATCAAGCTGTTGAAAATATGTTCCTGGATAACACATCTGATTTGGAACACTGTCCGTGCAATATCAAATGATAACATTGTTGACCAAGAGAGGAAGGAACGACGAAACGAAGCACGCTTACAGAGTTACAGTTGGGTTATGTGTTATGGAAGACCGTCAACAAAACCAGAGACATCGTGGTAGATCTCCAACTAAACCGGTACCTTTTCTTAGTCGCCCAAGCTCAATCTGATGATATCAAATACAACGTGTGAGCACCTGACCCTTTGCGGTTCTGCAGAATTTATTTTTTAAAATTTCAGAACTGGGAGGCTCAGTAGTTACTGTTGTGGTTATTGAAGTGTTTTCGTCCTGTGCCACCACCCATGTGGGCGCCAAAGATGTTGAAAGTGTAGCATCTTCAGATTCTTCGACACAGTCACTGTCAACATGCATAGTGGAACGAGTTTTATTATTCTAAAAATGCAGGTCGTTGGGTGTCCAAATTAGAATTATTAAGCATTTTAAAAATTCCACCAACCATTTTCCGTAAGTCTTGTCTGTAGTTCACACATTAGAAAACGCATGCGTGAAGTTCGCAAAAAAACCCAACAACAAACAAACCCAAATAAGTCAGTGGATAGATAGATCTAAATAGATAGCCTACAAACAAAAAATACACAACTCTCTTCTTAAAATACATTTTGTACTTTTCAAAGTAGATCGTCGTGCTTGTTGTCTTAAGAACCATAATCAAATATGGAATTCTCGTTCGAGAACTGCAAAAATGCATTTACAAATGAAAGGCACTGAATGAAAATGAACAGACATTGTTTTTAGAACTAACAAAGGAACTATTAATCAACCCACTTGGACACATTAAATCACAGTATTTTACAAGATTAAAAAAAACATTCCAAGATGTAATGTGTTTTTCTACATGCAGAAAACTTCCTTCATACACGATACAATCATGTAAGTACACTATAGCATTACAAAATCATGTACGGTACATGGATTTATTGGATGGGTTACATCCAGCATGCCTCTCAACTCAGATGGGGAAAAAATCTACTGAATCAAGATCTACTTTTACTAAGATAGTTTATATAGTATGACTCTGGCAAAACGACCTCGACTATGTCATCGCTCTGTGTAAATCTCTATTAGACTACGACTAAGTCTGGTCTATTAAACATGGTACATTGAAAGTCTACTTGTATCAAATAAAATACTCGTGGCCATGGTTTCAAGCTAGTGTATAGTTTTGTTTCCTGTGACTGACTGTTGTGTTTTGGATCAACTATCACTATTGTATTGTAGCATTATGTTTCTTTGTAAACAAACGTCTTTGATCTTTACTTTCTGCTGCTGTTCAAAATGAACAAATCAATGTCATCATCAGAAAGTGAAAGGATTCTGGTATGTTTTAGACAACTTCAAATGAGTAAGACTAATGGACGGCACAGGCAATGGGCAGGAGTACTTTTAGCATTTTTTCATGTACGTCAACAAGGGAATGTTTACCCTATTCAAGAAGCCACACGTAAATCATGTATCCTTTAAAATCACAAAGTGTACTCACTGATGTCGGAGCTGCTTCAGCCATTCTTAATGAAAAAACAATAAAATTCACAAGAGCAAAAATAGGATCCAACAGGCACGCACAAATAAATATGTAGGTTTGTTAGTTTGTTAGACAGAAACCAGCCGAACACAGGAAATTAAGAGACTGCTTTGAAAGGACAATGAATTGAACGACTTTCCTCAACTTTTCTTACTCGTTTTTATAGTACTTCGACCAGTCGACCATGTGTCTTTAGGGACTAGAAAAGGTAGAAATCCTGTGCTACGATTGGACAATTGTATTTTCGGCATGGGCTGGACGAAAATATCACCTGACATATTGGGCGACAGGGATATTGGCGTTCCCTTTGTCTTTTGACATCAGGCGTCTATCC